TTCAGTTGGAGGAAACAGAAAAATTCTGGAGCACTTAGAAAACGGCAGTGAGAAGTGCTTACAGTTGAGACTTGAGAGGCGGCAGAGTGGCCTAGAGAAAATATTAACAATTTATAGATGATATATTGTTAATTAATGAAGATCAATTGATTAGTAATCTTGCCAAAGGAGTTAGGACAGGATGAGAGGGGTAGACAGTGAAAGCAGAAAGGAAGGCAGAAGCCCGAACTTACGGTATTGGAGTGCCGAAGAGCTGTCCGGCACGGGAGCCTGATCAGGGGAAATGGAGACCATGCAAAACAATAAGGAGTGAATTAAAACAATGATGGTTTTAACTGTTCGCTCTTAAAAAGGAATAAGATGATATTTGAAGAAAATATGAATGCTTACTATTCATCTTAGGGAGGGGCATCTGAATAGGCTAATTTATAAAAGAAATCCCTTTAAAGATGTAGGAAGTTATCGTTCTTGACAAACAGTCCAGCAGGGTCCCAGTAATTTTAGATACGAATGTGTTTTTTCTGGACTATTAAAAAAGCACACCCAGAGTAAGTCCTGCCTTGAGGGTCCACTTTTTCCCAGTTGGGCAACAACAACACACAGACAGAAACTCACACAAACACCAGTAGGCTCAAAGATGAACTGAGCACCTCAGTGAATGGTGGCCCGTGCAGCGTCATAAAGTGGGGAGCTCAAGTAAGGACACAGACTAGCTAGCCATGCCGAGAGCCTGTCTGTCTGCTGTTGAGTTATAGGCTCTAAAGATCCTAAGCAACTGGGGCGGTCACCAGACAGGAGGGGCCACAGAGAGCTCCTGCATCATTGCAGCCACCCAGTGCTGCCTGGAGCGAGACTCAGTGAAACTGCAGTCCCAGGGAGGAGCACACACAGCAGGTTTACGAACAGAAGCTACACTGCTGTCCACTGATTCTCTAGTAGAGGCCAGCAGACAGCTCTCTGGGGTCAATTCTCTCCGTCCACCTTATGCGCTCCAACGATGATGCTCAAGTCAGCCAGCCTTGGCAGCGAGCGCCTTTACACACTGAGCCTCTTTCTCTCCAGACTCAGGGTTATCTTACCTGACAGACCGCGTCCACTCCCCAGCCCAACTCAGGTTCCTAAGTGGATCCGCATCTTTTTGCATCATAATTATGTTATCTAACAGTTAGCAATAATGAGAAGATAAAGTGATATGGGGTGTGTGTGTCCGTGTGTGTGTGTGTTAAGAAATAGTTCCTCTGTAGAAGGAAAATTAGGATTTTGGGACAGGAATTAAAATATGAAACCTTTCTTACCAGACATGGTTTTAGAAACTTGGTTTCTAAATGTGCTACATGCTTCCTTTAAAAAATGAAAATGAGAAGAAAAAGCTGCCTGAAATAAGAGAGTCAGCTTGTTATCTCACCCTTCGAGTTTAGGAAAACAATCACTCCTTTACTAACGATCAGAGGAAGCTGACACTGAAAAGCAATGAGCGTTTGGACTGCTTGGAGGCTGATGTTGCAGGGCCAAGTGCCCTCCAAAAGATGGAGGAGCAGGATGCTCCAGAAAGGCCTGGAACCAAGAGGTCTGCCCTGGGATAGATGGGGCAGAAGCCCTGTGAAGTGACAGGAAGACATGAATGGTGGCTCCCATGAGTTGCTGGGGTTCAGCACGCACAGTGGGAACCTGCTGCAGGAGCGAGAAGCTCCCAGGGACCCCAGCCTTCAGCACTGCCCTGCCAGTAACCCCACCAGGTTCTCACGGTTAATATCTGAGAACGACCCCTCCATGGCTCTAGCGGAGAAGTCTCATAGTTGTGAAATATGTCCAGAGCTGTTTCCATAACAAAAGCCTCCGCTCCGGGATGGGGCTTCTCCTGAGGCCTGCCCCAGGGCCCTGGGGAGGGAATGGCACTCCCTTTCCTGCCCATGCCCAGGCTCTGTGTTTCACTCAAGGGAGGAAAGAAGCCATGAAGAACAGACATTTGTGTAAAGCCACAGACATTGGCGCACCAGAAGCCTGACCCGGAATGTGACGGACAGCTCCCATCCTCTCTCCTCCCCATCTCCCCAGCAGTTTGTGGTCAGCATAGCTTCCACAAGCATTAACCAGTTTGACTTCTAACTAAATCCTCACAATAAAGACTGGGCTTCAGCTGCCAACAGCAAACCATTACGGGGCAGGGTGGGGGTGGGGAGGTGGCTCAGTGGGTCAAGCTAGAGGCACTGAGTTCAGATCCTCGGACCCTCTATAGAATTGGATACTGATCTGGAATCCCAGTGCTCTTGTAGTGAGATGCGGCGGGGGGGGGGGGTACAGGGCACCCAAAGGCTTGTGAGCCAGCAAGCCTGGCGCACACAGAAGATTCTGTCATGGAAGACAAGGTGGCAGGAAAGGTCTGGTATCCAAGGTTGTCTCGTGACCTCCCCCTGCACAGCTCTCCACTGTGATCCTGCCTCGAGGCCGTGAGACAGTTCCTAGGAACTATTCTTAGAAAACTCTTACATCCCATCAGAAAAAAAGTAAATAAAATCAATTTTGGCGATCATCACCAGCTAATATTAAAACCAATAAGGAAGCAGCTGCTGGGAGCAACTGGTGCTGCTGGTAATTCCTGCACCCTGCAGTCTCCTTAGTAACAGACAGGTCTGTCTGTGTCTGTGAACCCCGATGTGCAGGTACAGAAAGTGCGCACCACCTCCCACGCGCTATTTCTGTCAAAGCTGTAAACCTGGATCCGATCCTTTAGACCCAACTGCTGACTTATAGCACCCGAGACCCCCAGAAGAGGTATCTATAGGGCAAAGGGGAGGGGTTCACAGAGATGCTGTGGGTTCACAGGGATGGGCATGGGCTCACAGGGATGGATAGGGTGGGCTCACAGAGTAGGGTTGGGCTCACAGGGATGGGGTGGGCTTACAGGGATGGGAGGTGCGCTCACAGAGATGGGTTAGGCTCACAAAGATGGGACCTCTCTGGCTTTGGAGAGAGAGGGGCAGGGACTGAGGGAGGGAGAACACCCCAGATTAAAAAGTACTGAAGCAGACTGTTTTGTGTGGCCATTCAGACCAACCATGTTTAGCAAATCTTAAGGAAATCAGGCGATCTGGAGATCTGGACAGCAAATATTTGGTGGTTGTCGGGCTCCTGTTTTGAGAGCTTGGTTCCCAGCTTTTACGCTGCTGTTTCCGATTTTTGTTTGTTTCGTTTCAGGCAGAGTCTTAGGTAGCTCGGGCTGTGTAGCCAAGGATGACCTCAACTCCTGCCTCTGACTCCCACGTGCTGGAGTTACAGGCATGACCAGGAGCTTCAAGCAGCCACCAGGAGAAGAGCAGTGCTTACCTGCTCGGCTAGCTTTCTTAAACACCCCGGAGCCTCTGCCTAAGCACAGTACCTCCTGCAGTAGGCTGGGCCCTCCTCCATCAGTTAACACTCAAGAACACAATACCCCAGAGACATGCCCACAAGTCCTCCTTCCCAGATGTGTCAAGTTGGCAGCCAAGATTATCTCTATAGTTCCAAGAGTTCCCCAGTTAGTAAGCAGGACCACAATTTATCCTGTTCTTGAAGTTCAAAACGCAGAACTTTTACATGATCCCTTACCCCAATCGTAATCCAGCTGTAAGCAAGCCCCGCTCTTTATAATCCAATCCTCCTTCCCGACTCTGCCCCTTTACTTCCCATCCCAGACCCCTACCATGTTTTGAGTCACCTTATAATTTTCCTGGACTAAACTGAGGAGTTCTTCCCCCACGGTACCCCTAACCTAACCTAGGAGGGCCTAGGGATGCCATAGAGCAAGCCACCCAAAGCCACAGTGGCCCCTTTGCTTTCTTCAGCAATCTGGGGTGTCTGGGGCATTGCTTCTTCAGGCTATAGGCTGCTTGCTCTTGATCTCAGGCAGGGCGATGTGTTCCAGTCCACTTTAAAGAGTTCTTTGATTGCCTTGGACCAACAACCATGGAAACTTACTATCCTTGAGGTGGGGCAGAAGCTCTCATGTCCTGTTCTCTTACAGTCTGAACAAGTCACATGCCAAGGTCAGGGGACGAGGTGACAAGCTCTGCCCCCAATAAGGAAGGAGAAGGGAGAGAATACCCACTGGAGAAAGGCTATCTAGCCCAGGGACCATGCAAAGCGGTGGCCACAACACAGAGGAGAAGGTCTCAGAGGAGGAGAGTAGTCAGGGATGCAGAGATTGGGAGGCTGGGCTCTCCACAACCAGAGGTTTGGGGGATCAGTCAGAAAGGGTGGTCCCAGGAAGGAGACAGTTAGCTGGTGATGCAGGAGAAGAAGAAGAGCTGAGCGCCTCGGAACCAAGGCGAGGGCGAATGATCCACAGAGATGGACAAGTGAATGGGAAACGGAGAGGAAATCGGTAGCTACACTTGACAGCACAGCCATGACTGGGGCTCTTGTTTCTTAGGGACGGAAGGAGGACAAGGCCGAGGCTGCTAAGGAACGGGCTCGGAGGTGAGTAGGCTGTGTGTTCATAAACCGCTCTTTGCAGAAGGGTCTCAGGGGTGGTGTCTGGGTTTCTGTAACGATGATAAAACACCCTGATCAAAAGTAACTTGGGGAGGAATGGGTTGACCTCGTCTCCCACTGCCACATCACAGCCCTGCATGAAGGCGGCAACCTGGAGGCAGGAGCTGATGATGCAGAGGTCGTGGAGGATGCTGCTCACTGGCTTGCTCCTCAGGACTTGCTCAGCCTGCTTTCCTATAGAACCCAGGACTGCTTGCCCAGGGATGGCCCCACCTACAATAGGCCTGGGCCCTTCCCAATCAATCACTAATTAAGAAAATGTCCCACAGACTTGCGAGGTCGTGGCAGGTGCTCGTACCCTGCAGACTATCTTATGTATGCATTTTCTCAATCGTGGTTTCCTCTTCTTAACTCTGCCTTGTGTCTGGTTGACAAAACAAAAAACTACCAACCCAACCATGAGACAGATAGGAAATGGAGATTTGGTTTAGTGAGTAAGAAAGTCACACGAGAACAAAGGAAACATTTAATTCCCTTTCAAATAATTTTCATGTTTATTTTGTGTGTGAGGGGGATGTGGGTAGGGCACTCACGGCACGGCACATGTGTGGTGGCCGGAAGGCAACTTACAAGAGTCAGCTCTTCCACCAGGTGGGTTCTGAAGATCGGTCTCCAGCAGCTGGGCGTCGTGGCAGGGGCTCTGACCCAGTAAGTCATCTCACCAGCCTGAAGGATTTTAAAATAGGAGATGCTTGGTGAATGCTAAAATGTTCATGGAAGAGTCCAGAAAAGAGAAATGGGTGGAACGGGAGAGAAAAGATATATGTTCAATATGTTCCTGGGAGGAGCTGAGTCCAACTCTGTTTATCCAGTATCGACATCTGCTTCTTTTTGTGTGGGTGGGTGGTTTTCCGAGTCAGATTTTCTCTGTGTTGTGCTGATTGTCCTGGAACTCACTCTGTAGACCAGGCTGGCCTCGAACTCACAGAGATCCGCCTGCCTCTGCCTCCCACCACCCGGCGGCATGCTTCTTTCTAACCAACAGAACTCGAGTTTGTTTGAAGGGTCTGTGTGATTGGCTAAATTAAGCGCCACTCTTTGAGGATGCCTTTGAGAAGAAAATAACCAAGACATGCACTGTTCTAGAAAGAGAAATGAGCCGGAAATGCTGATAGAAGGCTCCCTTCCCTGCTTCTTTCCTTCCTCTTCCAGTCGGGAATATGAATGGGGTATATTATTTTAAAATATTTACTATTTATTTACTTGCAATGTTGGGGGTTGAACCTAGGGTTTAAAGTAATGGTTCTCTACCTTCCTAATGCTGTGACCCTTTAATACAGTTCCTCATAATGTGGTGACCCCAGACATAAATTATTTCATTGCTGCTACTTCATAACTGCAATTTTGCTATTGTTGTGAATTGTAATGTAAATATCCGTGTTTTTTGATGGTTGTAGGTGACCCCTGAGAAAGGGTTGTTCGACCCCCAAAGGGGTTGCGACCCACAGGTTGAGAACCTCTGGTCTAGAAAGTGCTCCAAGCACTCCGCAACCCAGCTCTCCTTTTACTTGTTTGCTTTGAGACAGACTCACTCAGTTGCCCGGACTGATATTCGCCAAGTAGCTGGGACTACAGGTTTGTGCCCGCTTCAAAGTCGCTGTGATCAGCAGTGAGGAAGGGCAGGCTCTGGACCTTAGACCACGGGGGACTGGGATGAAGAGGCAGAAGATTCTCCTGGTGAGGGCCATGGGCAGGTGGCACCCTTGAGGAGCAGAGATATAGAAAGAAGTCACTGTGGGTGTAGGTAGAGTCTGCTGACTGAGTTCCAGAACCCCCCCCCCCTTTTTTTTTTTTTCTTTTTCCTTCCTTCTTCCTTCCTTCCTTCTATTATTTATTTATTTATTTTTTTTTTTTTGAGATAGGGTTCCTCTGTGTAACAGTCCTGAAACTCACTTTGTAAACCTGGCCTCGGACTCACAGAGATCCACTTGCCTCTGCCTCCCAAGTGCTGAGTTTAAAGGTGTGCACCCCCACCCAGCAACTCTCCAGCTTCTTGCTGTGTAATCTTAGGCAAGTTACTTACCCTCTCTATGACCTGTGTAAAGGCAGGTATAAACGTGGTACCTATCCAGATTATTCCGATAATTGAATATAATTCATTTGAACACTTAAAACGACGGCTCACTCATAGTGGTGCTCAATAAACCTCAGCCGTCATTAATATTTCTCTCATTCCCTTAAACATGGAAAAGAGTAATAGACCAACTGTTACCCCTGTCTTCCCTTTCTTATGATAAGACTGTATCTCAAAGCTTGTAACAGCATATGTTTGTCTGGCTCACGGGTCTGCAGATTCCCTGGGGACTCCGAGAGCTCTTTGGGCTGCTGGGTAGGTTCCAGTCGTTTACATGTATCTCTTATTGTGGGACCAATAACCAGCTTGGGGCTGCTCACAAGGCAAATCAGGAGTCTAAGAATCCAGTGCTGGAGAGAGCGCCTGAGTGCAGGTAAGGAAGCACGGGCTGGCTGGGGCCAGGATGTAGGAGGTAAAAGATCCGTCCCCCATGACATCATACCTATAATGACGGGGACTGGGTGGGGACCGCAGCACAGGAGCAGAACCCAGAGCATCCCCTACACATCTTTACTTCCACGGTACACAATAAGCCTTGTCAGAGGCTGCTGTAGCCACCAGTGTTACATAAAACCTTCCCAGTCCGTGTCTTCCTGGGTCTGCCCGCCTGTTCACCAGCTACTGGCAAGTTTTATGGGTACTTCAGGCCGCCTTGCCTTTGCCGCCTCCTCCTGCCATCTCCCACCCCTCCTTGGCCCATCTTCCTGAGTGGGGTGGGCAGCTCCTGGCTAATGCATGCTCCTCCCCCTTCTCTTCTGGCCACAGTTAGTCAGCATCAAGGCCGGGAAGTACTTGTCATGGCACCGCCCCTCCAGCAGCCAGTGCCTCCCGGCCACCACAGCTGGTCACTGTGGTCTTCCCAAAATGCACTTCTAGTCCCGGATGCAAGACCCATTCCTTTGCAATGTCCTCCAATGAGAGCACCTTCCCTTACCCATCCTCCGGTCTACGCTCAGTCCTTACACACCAGACAGGCACTCCTACTGGCCTTCGCCTCTGTCTTTAAAACTCAAGGCCCTGGCCTGGTTAACTCAGCTTCTGGCTTGGCCCTCATTCCCTCCAGCCTCATCATATATACTCCCCCGTCCCCGTGTCTCAGCATCTGCACACACACACACACACACACACACACACACACACACACACACACACTGCTCTCCCGTGCTGTGTTCTAGAGGGTAGTGATAGGTGTTATCATGGCCGTTCGGGCTTCCCAGACCGGGTGCACTGACCTCCCGTTGTCCTCCCTAGGCGGGATGGCAGCGTGTGCTCCTTGTGTAGCGGGGTTAAATGAGATGCCATCCTGAGGTTGGTGGAAGTGGTAGACACTAGTCTTCAGTGAAACCTTTGTGTGGCAGGAGGGCACTTTCCCAGCTGTGTGCTTACTGTGTAGTGAAT